CGGTATGGCGGGGTTGTGTGCGCCGAGCAAGCGACAGGCACGCGGCCCTCCCTGGTTTACTGCTGCAGCAGAGCCCAACCATGACGTGCACGTTTCTGCCCATCCGTTCCCCCCCAGCACTGACCTGTGGTCCCCTCCCCCTCCCCTCCTTTTCTGCTGTGACTCCTTATAGTGACGTGTCTTCCCCCCCCAGCCCTTCATGCTGCCAACGTCTGATGCATTCCACCGGGTCCTGGTCGATGGCAGGCGGTGCTGTGCTGCAGCGGGATTCCCACGCACACTTCCTGTCATGCAGCAGGTGCACGGCCCCTCTTGTTCTCCTCGCCCCCCCTTGACGCGAAGGGCGGCTATCCAGGGCTGACGTTGGAACGTCAGGGTACTTTCCTCTTCCAGTCTCCGCCTGGGTTTTCGGGAGGGGTCACAACTGTCCAGGGCATGACGCTTGCTTACAGGCCTGGGGCGGAGAGGCCTCCGGCAGACCAGGTTCCTGCACGCTGCTGCTCTGCGCTAGGAGGCAGGGTTGGTCCCGTGCCCCCACCTCAACCCCATTGGTTTCTCGAGGGGGGGGCTGCATTTCCAGCAATGCACCCCTTGGTTGCATTCAGAGATTGGGGGGCGAGGGAGACGGGGTTAGGGATGGGACTGAGCAAGAGCGCGCACCAAAGGTATTTTGGGGTGGCCCCCTCCAGCAGGCCAGGAGGCTCTGGGTTCTGGGGGGGCGCTGGGGGCAGAAGGGCGGTCACTGACGTGTACATAGCGGTCCGTCTCTCCAATCTTTTGCACTTTGTCACTGGGGGGCTCCGGTGATTGTTGACCGTTTGCTACTGAATGTAACTTGTCTTATTTTTATTTTTTAGAAGCACCTCTAGCTAGTTTTATGGCACTTTAGATATTTACTGAAACTGTTTAAGGAAAATTTTAAAAAAGCAAAAAAAAAAAGAGAGAGAGAGAGAAAGAGAGGAAAACAATATCAAGAGTTAGGAAAAAAAGCAGGAAAAGAAAACCGATAAAATACGTTGGTAATAATCATGAGGAGGAATAATAATTTTCTGCCGCTTTTTCCCGGTCTCTGTTCCAAGTGTGACAGTGTGAGGAGTCCGTTAGACAATTACCGTATTTATCTTTCTGCATCTTTGTGTGTAACTCAAATAACTTCTTCAGAATAAAACGACAATTATATGCTGAAGGTGACACTGTTGAAAAGCGCACCCAACCGCCACTGCTCTGTGGATTAGCAGAGAGGTCTGTGGGTGGGGGTCAGAAAAGTCAAGATGCCCGGCCCTTTCTGCGTGCGTTGCATCCAGGGCCTGGAATGGAGGGGTACGAGCACAGCCCCCACCTTGACTATTTGACGCTCCTGTCTGACGTTTGACATCCTCTCTTCTAGGCAACACTAACAGCTCTCCATCCAGATGAATTGGTGATTCATCCGCCCTCCATGCCTTCTGCTGTGAACACTTAAATTAATTGCGATGTTGCTCAGAATTGATGGCAATTTGGGGGGCGGTACAGGCCTCCCTGGTCCAGCCTTGGTGTCCCCGGGGTTGACGGATGCTCCTTCGGCCAGGTTTGGGTCTTTGAAAAGAAACGGAGCTGCTGGGGAGACCCTCATGCACCTCTGGTGAACCTGCTTGGTTTATAGGGGCTTCTGAATCACAGGCCAAAGAGCAGCGTTTGGAAGCAGCCAGGAAGCCCAGCCAATCCTGTAGCCGGAGGGGGGACACCTTTGCGGGGGAAAGGGGGGTTCAAACTGAGTGAAAAAAAGGGAGTCAGGGCTGGCAACCAGAATCGAGCACTGCAAACTCTGGGGGGGGGGGGGGGTGAGTTGGAGGAACAGAACCCCTTTCTATAGGTCAGTGATTGAAAATGGATCAGTGCAAAACTCCAATGTGTGGGTTCGGGGGGGGTATAATTAAAAGATGTGGGGGCTGAGCCAGGCCCTCCTGAAACCTGGCAAAGAATCAAGTCTGGTGACGCCTTTTCCGACAAACCCATGTTATTTAGAGGCGTTCGACTAACCCACTCCCCTCCTACAGCATCTGCCAAGAAGCATAGCCCTAAATCGGAGACCTGTTTCTTCTAGCTTTGCCCCAGTTCCACTCCCGCCTCCCCACCCCGTTGGTTTTAGTGCAGGGACCCACACCTGCCCCACTTTGGAGCCATCCAGCCACAATGGCCAGGTCTTTGTCCCCGCCTCTAACCCTTTGGCGCTGTTGCAATTGTGAGCAAACAAGCCCTTTGCCTCAGCTGATGGCCCTTTCACCCCGCAAGAAAGGCGTGGATTGCTGTCCTGTCTGAGAGGCCCCACAGGGCAGGTTTTTAGTTCGTGCCCAAGGGAGTTGTGCCTGTGTGTTGTGCGTTAGACTCAGCTGGAGGGCTGGCTGGAAAGACTTAAAAACTCAGAAAGAATGCAAAAGGATAAAAAACGAATGCCTTGGGGAAGTACATCAAAACCTTTCAGCCGTGGCTCAGCTGGATCACAAACACCATCACCCATTGCTGGTTTGAAAAAGCAGGTTTTTGATAACTTTCTAAAGCAGAGGAGGGTTGGGGTCTGATGTACCACGGGCAGTTTTCCAGAGGCAGGAGCGGTGCCAAGAAAAGGTTCCCCGCCAGGCTCCCCCGAGATGGTGTTGTTTAAAGGAAGAGCAGGGCTACCTTGCCAGTTCTTCTAGGTACGGGCAGGGTCTGAGAGGAGGCCAACCCAGACGCCCACCAGAAACCAGCGCAGCTCACAAAGCAGAGACGGCGCAGGGGCGGCGCACCCATAACTGCTGGCCTGGCCGCATTTGATCCGGACCAGCTGTAGCTTCCACCCGGTCTTGCGGGCAGCACCAGGCAGCGCGTGTCGTGGCGATGCAAAGGAGAAGTAACGCGCAAGGGGCAGTGTTCAGCCTTGGTTTTGCGGTAGGTTGCTTGCTTGGTGAAGCATCTTCCCAGCCAGGCTGGGGAGGCCACCCAGGAATCCTTGGAGGGCCCAAACTCACAGCCGAAGAGCGGGACTGGGGGGACGAGGGCAGAAGGACGCGGCACTGGAAGCGGGAAGGAGGACGAAAGGAAGTCCGCTGCCACAGAACGCTAATTCTACAAGGCAGGCATTGTTCTTCCCCACTGGTGAAAATCCAGGGGCCTGACCTGATTGCTCCGAGGAAGAGGAGAATCACGCCCTCTCTGCCTCCCAGGGAGAATGAGGCAGCATTTCCCGAAAGCTTCGCTTCGGCTGCCAGCAACTTGCACAAGATTTGCGCTGAGCCAGGCCGTTTGGAGATGACCTCCTCAACTGGCGAGGGATCTCTGGGGATCTCGTGAAACGCGGACTTCCCCAGTCACTTTGCAGCTCTCCTCTAATATGTGGAGTGGTTTCCAGTCGGGCAGCTGAGATTTTGCAAAGCTTCCCCCAGCCCTGTAGAACCTCAGGGGTCCTTGAGGTCATCTAGTCAACCCCTGCCCCGGGCGGAATCCCCCTTCCCCGGGCGGAATCCCCCTTCCCCTTCCCCGTGGAAGGCGAGTGTGCGGCACAGCTCAGGCCAGGCTGTTTCCTGGCACAGTTCAAGCAGCCCTTGGGGACGAAAGGGACAGATCGGCTGGCGGGGAAGATGGCAATGTTCCCCAAAGGCAGGTCCGGCCTTGGGCCGCTGCAAAAGTTGGAAAGCGGCACGCACCCTGGCCAGCCGGGCAAGACTTGGGGAGCCAAAGTCTGCCTCCCCCCGCCCACCCTCTGTCTTGCTGTGGGCCTTGATCCCTGGAGAGTTTATGTCAACAACTGTCCGGACAGAGCAATCGGAGTTTGACCACAGCTTGTTCCGGCGGCTCTTTCCAGTCCGTGCTGAGCCGTGCGGGTTTCTGCACCGTGCCAAACATGTTCCCAGCTGCCGCTTGGCTGCTCCTGCTGGTGGCCCCCGGGCCCCCTTGGGCCACAGGGGCCAGGATCCAGGAAACAGAGGAGGGTGATGCTTCCAAGGTGAGTCTGGCACGGCCGGCAGACGGGCAGACCTTCCCCCTGCTTTTATGGCTGGAGACCTCCCGAAAGGCCAACCAGGCAGTGTGGCCAGAGCCACCACCTCAAAGGGCCGGGGGTTTCTTGGAGGCGCTTCAGGCCTGCCGCCGCTTCCGTTCAGCTATCGGAAGTAGAAGAGCCTCTGAGTGAGTATCCGGGCACGCTCTGACAGCTGTCTGCAGTGCTCCGGGTTGCACCAGGTCTCCCTACCCCTTTTCCTCTCTGGTGTTTAAATCCTGGCAGTGATTTGACTCTCTCCCTTGGTCTGGCCAAAGGACAGCCACTGTTAACATCAGGAGGGCAGGCTGGGCCTCAACAGGGGAGGCTCTGCTGCACTAAGGGCAGGGAGGGGGCTTGAAGCACCGCAGCTGCCCCTACAAAAAAGCACTAATACATTTTAGGACACGCCTGAGCCCAGCTCGGCCTTCTCTTATGGCAGGGCGCACAGCATCTCGCCAACTGCTTGATGGCAAAATAAAACAGGCAGCAATCGTCCCGGGGCAGCTTCACCTGTTGAATTTCTCTCTCGCAGCTGATACAGCGCAGGAGCCCGCTCTCCTGGGCTTTCCGCAGCCTCACGGCACGTCCGGGACGAAGCGCTGCCCGGCGAGAGACGGGATCGGGGCCGGGCGCGCCCCCGCGCCCCCTCTGCGCGTTGCAGCACCCAAGGGGCTTTAGGCGGATGCGGAGGCGACCCGCGCGGCTCGCCAGC